AGTTTATTGCGTGTAGGATAAATTGCATTTGCGATTGTCCGGACTAATTATCATGCAAGACTATGCCGCTATGAGTTTTTATTAGGGAACTACCTCAACAGTGGTTGGAGGTCATGTATCGTCACTATGGTGTCCACCCCTAAGTAACATACATGCTCACATTTGGGTGTGTCCTTTTTTGGGACTTCTCCAATATGGCAGTGTTCCTTAAACACCAACAAAACCGGGTACCCGTTTATCTCTCTCTCTCTCACGCCCAGTTGCGGGCTCCGGGCAAGCACAAGTTCCTCACCAAGAGCGACTGCGAGGCACACCGGCCGAGCTGATTTGGCGTAGACTCCTAGACTCTAGGCGGCACCAATGGCGGCACCAACATTCCGTACAAGTGCCATTTTTTGTTTTTAACAATGCCCCATATACCTTTGGCTATGAAAACATCACCTTGGCCCTTGATCGAGTTTCCATGAGGTTCCTGTGGGGTGATGCAAGCCGAAAAGCTCGAGAGCCCACGAGATGTTCAGGAGCTCTTAGGGATCAAGAATGAGCTCACCCATGAAGCTTTCTGTCAGTTTTTTTTGTTTTTTTTTTGTGTTTTTCTGTTCCGTGTTTTGTTTGTTACAATTGTTTACCTGAACCCTCAAAACTAGCCCAAAACTACCCATACCAAAAGTGAACTCGCCCCAAAATGTTGGGGCTAGAACCCATTCTGAAGGGTATTTTCAGGGTCCAGGTAGATTACTTGTCCGGTCTGCGGATCCTCTCTGATTTGTGTCGTTATGTTTTAGTCTTTGCAGTTTGCGCAAACTGCAGGCGTTTGACGGGGATTGGACCAGGTTCCCCAAAAAGGCGCTTAGCGGGCCTTTTGCGTGGAGTTTTTTTTTTTTTTGGTAGGTCAAAAACAACAACAGAGGTGAGAAGTTTCTGCAGCTTTGGTTGGCTGGGACCTTTGGGTTTTGCTCTTTAGGAGCTCCCAGTCTTCACTTCGGTCAGAGCGATTTGACTGGAAGCTGGTTTTTGTGTAATGCGTCACTTGATAGCGCAGGCGATACTTGGGTTAGAAATTCCCCAGGCCATGTAAACATGGGTCAAAGTCAGCGGAGCTCTGAACATTTGGTAAGTTAGCAAGCGCAGTGCTCCTGAGCTGCGCGAGCGGTAGGAAACCTGTCGCCTGGTGATCTGCTTTGGGATACCGAGAGACTCCTGGCTTCGGCGTTCAAAGGAAGACCCGACTCCATCAGACACCCCGAAAAGCGGTGGTTGGGGGTCTCAAAACCAGGTTCTTAGGCCCTAAATCAATCGAATTGGAGCCTCGTAGTGAGCATTTGAAAGCATATAAAACTCGTGCAATGCAAATGTTTATCTTCCCGATGCCAAACGTGGCGTGTCTCAGCCGGAACGATTGCGCCCTTCGGCAACGAAGTCAATCGGGTACCTCACTCCCTGCTGACACATTGGGAAGTATCAAGACCTGGGGACGAGCTGGTGTTGTGAATCTAGGAAGACCATTTTAGCAGCGAGTAAACAGTTTGGATACTTTGCACCCCTCTTATAATGGTGAACCATGGTTTCACCATGAAGTGGCAGGGGCCTTTGGGTCATGGTCGAGCACACCCTTGTTGCTAACCGCTGGATTGCTTTTCCGCCCATGTCAGCCAGCATAGCTGTCTCCACGACCCGAATCAAGAATGGGTCCACGAGCAATGATGATTTTGGGTAGCCAGGTACTCGGCAGGCCTCAGAGCTCAGCTGAAACTCCGAGCAACTCTGAGCGTTTGCGCCAGGTTCTGCTTCACCTCTATGCCCAGGTTCGGCGATCGATCGGCTTGAGTTTTTTGAACGGCTCAGCAGGAAACGAGGGAAGGACCCTAAACCATGCAACTGGGTTCCTTTAAGGGGACCCCTGGGTTCATTCCCTCATTTTCTACTGCGCACCAGCAAGTTACCCTCCTTCCAACGGAAGTGGGCTGTTTTCTTGAAGACGAGGGTGGTCATGCGAAGCAAGTTGCTGGAAAGGGGGCCATGTGGAGAACCGTTCTTCGCGTGCTGTCTCAAAAGAGCATATCTTAGAGGCGCTCAAATCAACTTGAACCATGGGACGTGGATTCCATAGTGCTGCCATTGAACCTATGAGCACCAAGAAGGATTTTCCTCTTCAATCCTGGTCAGGATCCTTGCACCACATACCCACAAGCTGGCCTTTTTAGTTTAGTTTGGTTTGAAATGGATGAGTTCCGCTGGTTTAGATGGGTTTTGTTCTGTTTGCCAGGGCCATCTATTTTCTTCCAATAGCACACCTATGCACATACCCCACGGGAGGTTGCCAATGCGCTGCGCAGGACGGCGTGGACTTCTTGAGCAAGAACACCGTGCCTCTCTCGGATCTCTGGTCACAAGCTACTTGCTTGACTCGCTGGTTCTGGTTGTGGTCCTAATCTATGATCCAGACACCCAGTGGGCTGTGAGCCCTTTGTCCTTTTTTGTTCTTCTGAGGAATCCCTTGAAAATCGACCAACAAAAAAACGGGCACCGTTTTTCCCCATGCTCATTTCTGGTCTGCGTAATTTATGCGCCTTTCATGGTAGATTGAACTGCCACGCTGCTGACGCCTATTCAGGCATCCAGGCACCGGCCGAGGTCTGCGGAATGTACGCCTTCGCCATTTGGGACAAGAGAACGAGCACGTGCGCCTTGCAACCGACCACCAGAGACAGACTCATCCGCAGATTGGGTTATCTCACCACATGGAAAACGCCCTAAGCACAATATGCAAGCTGGTTTTATTTTTACACCCACCACACCAGTTTCATGACCCAAGCTCAAAATCAGGGTTATCCCGAGGCGCCTTGTCTGAGAACACCCTTTGTCACTTGATTCTTCCAACTGCATGCGCTATTAAAAAAAAGAGACTTGGAAGTGTGGGTTTACTTTTGGTGCTCCGTTCAGATCCTCTGTTTATCCAGAAAAGCTGCATCCTTAAACCGTTTTGGACTTGACGCCTTGGACTCATTCGCGGCTCGATGTCCCCCGCGGCCTTTGGGACGATCCGAGCCGACGCGACTCGTGAGGTACCTTGTGGCGCGTGACCCGGTGGGCATCATCCCTCTCTACATCGGCTGGCCCGGGGCTTGGCGGAATCACTGGCCAGCTGCTTCACATGGCCCGTGGCCTTCCGTGGGAGCCCTGGAAAAGAATTCCATTGCTTTCCTGGGCTTTTTTCACCTGGGACCATGCAAACAAGAAGTTTGGGCTGTCTTTTTGACCAATCCACTCAGGAAGTGAGATAGGGAGGCGTCCCCTTTTTGTGGGGAATATCACTTTTCGAGGGAACGATCCGCGTAGGACAGATTTCTTCATCTTGAGTCAGCACTACAGGGCGTATAACCCAATCTACAACCATACTGAGGCAAAGAAAAAGAGGCGGCTACGGTCCGCTCAAACACCGGGCCTTGGAGATACTTGCCCAGTTGCGTTCCAAGCACGTTCCAGAACGAGGTCGCCCATTACAAACAGTCACCAAGTAACGCAGCTTGCGTCTTCTCACGAAGGGCTCCTCATGTATATACTGTTCGAGGGCGAAGGTCTCGGCTCTCAGTTTGTTTTTACTTGCCTAGAGTCTCCATGAGCCGAATCAAAAATGGGTCCATGCCCAACCACTATTTTGGGTCATGACCAACCATTTTTTAAGGGTCAGAAGCTGCCTCCAGGTATTATGTTTTCAGTTGGGTCACTTGGGTTCGGTCATTGCCCAAAATATTGGTTGGTCATGGACCCATTGTTAAAGGGTTAAAAAGAGACTCCAGGCATTTGCCCGGACATTCCAGACTCTCCGAGGGCGAAGGACGGTTCCGTGCAAGTGGCGAGCGAGCTCAAAGCCTTGCACAAGGCACGCGGTTGGAGCGGAGGCGTTTGCCAGGCTCGGAGGGTCCAAGGTCCGAATCCCAAGCGCTCCCAGAGGGTCCCTTGGTGCCTTCTGAGGATGGCTTGGAGTCTCTGGGGCTTTTTTCATTCAGGCAATCATCAGATGGCTGGTGAAAAATGGTGTAACCCCAAAATTGGTTGCCCTGGCAAGTGGAAACATGGACTAAAACCTGCGGTCCCCTAGTGGTTTAGTTTTGACCCACACCCAGATTCTGAAAGGAAATCCCCGCAAATCTGAGGTAGCAAGGGACCTTTTAGCTTCTGAAGCCCAGTTCTTCGTGAAGCAGACTTGCCCCTTGTCATCCACAGACCATGATTTACCAACCTTTGGCCCATTTCAGTTCTGGCGGATTGCGCCAATCGCTGAAATCATAGCTCGTTGCTCTCGGCGAGTGCCAGCCACGGAAGGCACCTGAGAGAGGGCAGTTTGAACCGCAGTTTGGGACTTGGGACGCGGGCTGCTGAAGGTATGTGGGTGGCTCGCCTTTTTGAGGAACACCCTTCTGGTTGGTTTGTAAAGGGAAACAAAGAGGAACCCCACTGAAGGCGTGGTTGGCACATGACACTCAATTTTGCCACGTCTGGTGGGATTTGCCACGTCGCTTAGCAAGGCGAGGTGGGATTTTTCCGGGCACAGATTTCAACACAAGGACACTTGAGGTCGTCTATCCCAAATTGGACCCCAATACTGGCAGGTGAGGAAGCTTGACTGTTTTCGAACTCTCATGGGGTATACTGGTGTATCGCAACGATTAGCTCCTTACTCTCTATCGGATGGGTATCTGCCGCTGTCTCGCGGGACTGGCGGATCTTGCCGTGGGCCATATTTACGCCTCGCGAGTTTGCCCCGTTCACTCGCGGCCCTCGCGGTTTTGGGCTCAAGACGCTGGCAAAGAGCGACCAGCGAGTCGCGGGAAAGGGCGACGACTGCTCGACCTAGTTAAACAGCGCGGTAAAGCCCTGATGCCCATGCCATTCGATCGTGTTCACTCGGGCTCTCTCACTCAAACAGATAGGCAGGTCATGTGTGCGTTTTTTCCGGCGGCTCAAACAAGCCGAAGCATCTAGCCCACACCAACAGGCACGAGTCACCAATACCCGGCGCAGACTCGCGAGGGGAGAATGGCTACAACTTGGTAGGGGCCCCCACCGGTCTTCTCGCATGCTCGTCGAGCGCATGCGCGTCGGGTTGGGAAAATCTGGTCAGCGAAGGAGATGGAAAAGGGGACACCCCCCCTATTTTGTGGCCAGGGTTTGCTAAATCCGGGCTCCCACTACCTTTGGTGCATTTTGCTTGGATGTTAGGACTTTAACTTTTGGCCAACCAGTGGGTTTTCCATCAAACCACTAGAAGTTAAACTTTTAGAAGGGGAGCAGAAAGCAACCGAGATTAGCTTACAACCTTGCAAGTAAGGTTCCCAACCATTTAGCCAACCGGCTAGATCATGTAAGACAACGCGCCCTTCGTGAGATTGTTGCTTCATCATCCCGGTTTCTCCAAAGATCCATCCACTTTTTTAGGATCAAATTGAGGGCAGCATTTCGAAGTGACTTGTGTTAGTACTCATCCCATATGGGTGTGGCTCAAATTAAACAGGAGGGGCTACGCAGGTGTTGGTCCATGTTTCCACATACCAGGGTTCCATTTTGGTACCGTTTTTTGAGCCACAGCCATATAACATGTGCTGGTTTGTGTGGTTGTTGGGTTCTTGCGCAACCAGCTGTTTGTTAAAGTGTATCGGGTGCAACACCCCATCAAGTGTTCGCAGAGGAAATCATAAGCTTTCCCTAAATGTCCCATTTACCCTCTATATGCACTCCAAAGTACCAACTAAGGGTGACCTGAAATGACAGAAGGAACGATTCCGGGACACGAACACAAACCCAAAGAGATACACTACACAAAGACAAGCAAACACGCAGAGACACTCACAAGCAAACACATCCACGCAGCCACCGAAACAAACACGTGCCTTGGATGAACAAACACATCGGATCCGAATGTGTGCCGAGGGAGACTAAAGCCCAAACACAGGGGTTCAGGGAACAAATCGACAGGTATGTCTGGGATACTGCACAGTCGATATAGTCGATCATGGATTGGTCACTTGGACTTTGTTTGACTTCATCAAAAGTCCCGCTTGAAATGGATCGTGTCCCTAAGGGGCAACACTTCTCGACCTTGGCTTTGAGCCATGTTCTGGTTTTTTTTTGACTTGGCATGGAGTTCCCGGGCGTGCTTGTGCTGAACTTGTCCACGGGTGTTGCGCTGCTAGCGAGTCGGATCTTTGCGGAGCACCGGAGGCGACGTGTCCGCGAGTGATGGGCAACAGCGGGTGCCAGTCATGCGGAGTAGCCCGGGGCTCGGAGTGGCCCAGGTTTTTCCGCGCAAATTTGGATGCCCCTTGGAAGGAAGGCAGAGATGGGGGTGTCAATTTTTGTGGGGGCACCTCTTTTTTGTGCAGTTAGAAGGAAACCCAGAGGAAAGCAACAATTTGGAGGATTTCCGGGGGCCCAAAACTGGACACCTCATGTTGAAACGGGGCGATGCCCACAATTTTCGAGGCTTATCAAAGTTCGGGACCGGGAGTCCTCATTGTGAAGCAAAAAGTGCAAGGGTGTTGGGTCAAAGACCGGCAGTTATGGCAAAAGGGTTGCTAATTTGGTGCAAGCTTCGGAACTCTTGGGTTTTGAAGTTTCTTAAAGATCGGGTGGCTTGTTTGTTTTTTGGAGGCATGCTTTTGGATGAGTTTTACTAGGGAAACCCAAAGGATGACATCCATGTGGGGAGTCCTCTTTTTGAGAGACAAACCGACGTGGGGGTGGCACTTAACATTTCACAAACGCCGCCGACACGATGAATGTCCCGCCAATCGGGGAGATTTATCCACGGTCATTAGGAATATTTAGGTCTCAACTACCACATATGCCAGACATGTTGCCATCTGTCTGAGCAACGACACCAACGGCATGACCCACACCCGGAGTTTCGACTATAATAGTTGACATCTTTTTCAGATGAACAAGGTATAGACTCCTCACGGTTAGACCAAAATGGTGACACGGTGCAAGCACAAGTCGTAGGCGACAGCGAATTTGGCACGCAGTTGGACAAGCCGATATGCATGCTCGCTTGAGGTAGTGGCACCATCAACCTGCACCATTACGATTTAGTTTGGTTCATGTCTAAGGGTCTGTTTTATCGCCTGGTTCATGGTTAATAGTATGGTATGTTTAATTCATGGTATGGTAATATGCTGTGACAAGTTTGACAAGTTTTGTTGTGGTATATGGTTTGGTTATGGTTCATGGTTCAGGACGCTGGTATATGTTTGTTTCCTCGCTTTGCTCTTGTCATGTCCTTCTGCGGGGTGCGCCCATGGGGTGCGCTGGGAGCGCGGCGAGGCAGATTGTGACAAGACACCCAGCAAGTCCGGCGCGCCTTGCCTGGCCCTCAGCTTCCTGGAGGGGGGGGGGAAAAGATTGGCGAAGTAGATTCATGCATATATTTATATTGGCTGCGTCACATTGGCTGGGGGGCATCCTAGGGGACAGCTGGGTTTTCCACGGCTCCCCTGAGAAGGGACCCCTAAGGAACTGAAGGAAAATAGTGACATCGAGCCTTTCTTCAGCTTGCCTCTTGGTTTGGATTGGCTGTGGGTTCAAATCCCCAGTCTAAACCGCCAGTAACCTGATTTCAAGTGCCTTCCGGGAGACACTCAAAGCGAGAACTCTTGCAGGAATTCTAGCAGACCCTTGAGCCATGCCATGATCCTTAGATCCTGAGCCTTCGAACCAAACTGTCCCAAAATGGTGTCCACCAGAGGGTCCCCCATCAAACATCATCCCCCGGAAGTTTATCCCTGTGATTTTATTTCACTGTATAGGTAAGCAAGGGTGAACCACCTTTAGGCACTACCAGGATTATTTTTGGAAGGCAACTGTGTTGATCGCTGGCATGCACTGCATGGGTATTCAGTTTCCACGGCTGCCAACAATCCTTGAATCGGACACCTACATGGTGCATGACGATCCGAGCTGAGCTTTCATCAGGATCCTTTCCAGTCAGAAGTTCCTTTCGCTGGGTTTCCCAGCCAAACACTTCAAGGACCCCTTTTTACCCACAGAGACCAACGGGCCAAACAAGAGCCCTGAGAAGCGGATGGCTGGATGACATCGAGGTTTGGCACCTGGGCAAACGGAAGAGTCCTCTGGAGGCATCCTCTCCCAAAGGCATTTGGCCTTGGGCCCAGGGCATTCGGTTCTTGAAATCTTCACCCTAGCCCAAGACCTCCAATTATTTGAGGCCTTTTCAAGGAACACCCTCAGATTTCGGGTCTTGGGCTAGGGCCAGGCCATCCTTCGGAGGGCTCCGCGCGCCTTGCGGCTGCGAGCCGAGCCCAGGCCGACCTGCTCCGACACAGAGCTTCCAGGCCGGCGGTGTGTGCGTGGCTCCAAATGGCTTAGGACCTCTGATGGTTTGAAAGGGAAACCACAAGGAAGCCACCGGGTCTCTGAAATCTTCTGGGAGACACAAAATGTTCGAAGTTTGCATGCGTCGTGTGTTTTCTGTCGCTAAGCTGGCCCCTGCTTCACACAAACCCCCCACCCACCCACCCACCCACCCACTCACCCGGCCGCGACCTGCAACTCACACTTCAGGAGTTGTTTGTTTATTTATTTTTTTCGGGGGGAAGAAAACCCTGCCACTCACACTTTAGGGGTGTGTCGGGCTCTGAAGGCCGTTTAAGCAAGCGGTTAGCGGTTTCAACTCTGTGCGTGGCTCGTAGCCTTTAGCCAGCCAGGGCCTTTCTCCGCAGCACCTGACTGGCTGGGCCTCGGCCTCGGATGATGCGTCCACCAAGGGCCCTCTGTGGCAGTCCCCTAAAGCGTGGTCAACCCCTTTACCTGTGGGCTGAGGTCTCCTCCAAGACCACTTTCTTATATTTTACGGGGGTCGGTTAAATATGGGTATGGGTCGAAATTAAAGCACCAGGGGACCGCAGGTTTTAGTCCTTGGTTCCATTTACTAGGGTTCCAAAACGGCTACACATTGTTGACCCACAGCCATAATATATATATATATATATAACGCATTCTGAACAAGGCAATATTTTCTGTGTACCTTTTCTGCGTCGCCAAGGGCCCTTTGACCGCCAGAACGGGCTAGAAGTCAGTCTGGCGCGAATGGGGAAACCTCTCGGGTCCGCTGCTTCCCGTCTGCCTGTTTCGTGTCTCGTCGGCATTTGCAGCTAGGCAGATACATAGAACTCCCAGTTTTTACAATTTGAGTTTGCAAGCTTACAAATACATCTCAGCAATTTTCAGCGACGTCACGTTCCGGGTTGCGACGTCACCCATGAAGGTTCATTTCGTCAAGGTTTCCCTTATTTTCAGTCTGTGAATTATTGTGTTCGCAGATACTGGAAAACCATGGCGCTCAGCTGTAGGTGACGCGGTGCTTGCGTTTCCCCGTGTGGTTTCTGAGGTTACGATTTCACTGTGTGCAGGTAAGGTAAACCACTGGATAGTCCGAGAGACAAACCGACAGACATTGGGATGAACTGCTTGCCAACTGCTTGCCAACTGCTTGCCAACTGCTTGCAATTTAGCAGCCGGAGTTTCCCAAATGCAGCGTCAGGTGACGTCAGGTGTCCTATGAATTGATTGCCTCTCGTGGCAGATCGCGTTACGCTTATTCTTTGCAAGTCGTCCTTTTGCTTCCCTGAACACCAACCCCAAAAAGCATCTGAACAGGCATTGACGCCCACCTCCCCCTCTTTGAGCTCAGGTTGAGCTTTCATGTGGACAATGCAGTTGCCTCAAGGCTCCAACCTACAAAACACAAACTTAGAACTTGAATGTGTGGGGCTAAAAAGCCCATCCCCTTGACCCTGCAAAATCCTATTGGATGCTCAACCTGCTTGGTGGGTTGTAACCATAGTCACGCGTACTGGGAAAGGAGTTGGCGGACTTGCCTACTCAGTAAGTGGGTTGTGACCATAGTTGCTGGGACTCATGTTGGCAGCCTTATTGCCCATACTGTGGATGTACAACATCTTGCACCACTTGGGATGGATAAAGCCCGATTTGAATACTGAGATACGCCAATCCCAAATGGTGCCTGGACTAAAATTCGCCCATCATAACCCCCTTTCCCATGGCTGGTCTTGGGTTCGTGATTTCTGTTGGAAATCGTGTATAAATTTAACCTACCAAAGGTCTGACGGCCTTTGTTTGAGGGGGGGAGAGAGCTTGGAGCCAACCTGTTGCCTAGGTGCTTCTCAAAACCAGAGGCCCTTCAGGTAGCTGATCTCCTTTTGGTTTCCACTTAAAACAATCCTGAAGGGACCAATTACGGGGGACCACTCAAATACGTCTGACTTAGGGCGCCACATCCAAGGAATCTCCAACACTTACTTCCCTGGTGCAGTTTCATTGGGAACTTGGTGAACCTCAATCTTTTGTTGGGAGTTTATGACGATTTGCAAGAGGTGGACGCTGACCCCCGAAAAAACATGGAAAATAAACATGAAAAAAAAACCTACTGGGCGGTTCCAGGCATTTCTGTCCACAAAGCACTGGGGCCCAAACTCCAGCCCTCTGTGGTTTGCAACGGACATGTTTTTGTTCCTTCTTTTTCTATAGGCACCTGGGTGTGGCTCAAAATCAAAGAACAATGGGCAAACCGCAGGTGTTAGTCTTTGGTCCCAGTTACCAAGCTGCCATGTTGGTACCTGGAGTCTCCTTCTGACCCGAATCAAAAATGGGTCCATGACCCCATTCTTTTGGGATAATGACCAACCATTTTTAAAGGGTCAGAAGGAGACTCCTGGTACATGTTTTTGAGCCCCCAGCCACCCGACCCACGTTTTCCACCGATCCCTCGCATCGAAGAAAGCGGAGAAACCGACCGACCGCAAGCGGCCGCGGCCGCGGCGCCAGGATTTCAATGCGCTGAACTTTGAGGCGTCGGCCTTGCAGTCCATCGCCCACGCCTCGGTTGCGGATGTCTTTTTTTCGTGGCGAAAGCCGGGGCTTTTGGGGTGAAGAAACCTCCTTCTGACCCTTTCCAAATTGTTGGTCATTGCCCAAAAAATGGGGTCATGGACCCATTTTTAAGCGGTCATGGAGACTCCAGGTAGCTTTTTTGTTCTCATTTTTCGTAAGGAAGGTTCGGTTCCCCAAAGGTTTTTGAGTGGCTTAGGGACTTAGAGGTTGGATTGAGTGATGTAGTTTCCACACCACTGAAAGTGTTCGTCTGGCAGGGGATCTAAGGGCAACATTGCAGGTGCTGTGGCTTGGCTGTTGGGTGTGGTTTTTAACCTTTAACTTGGAAACCTAAAGTCCCACACCTTTGGGTTTGTCTCATTTCAACAGGGAACCGGGGAACCCTTATTTCAATTGGGTGAATCAACTGGCACTCGACGGGACGATTGCCGGCGTTGCTTTTACTAGAGGCCCGGAAAATGCTTGGATTGCAAATCAAAAGTACCCCATTCTACAATTACGGATATCCATGAATTGTCTACATCCCTTTTTGCACCCAGGGCCATTTTACCGGGGATGTGATTTAGAGATTCAGATGGTGGGGAGGTTTTGCAGCTACTGCTGGGCGAAAGCCGCTGGCACAACCTCCCCATGTATGTTGTATCATCCGTACAGAAATAAACAAACTCTTGTTCAATCACGACGACTTCAGATGAATTCACAAAACTGCACGGTGGCTTTTTTTTAGAGGGTTCCTTTTATCCAGTAAAAGGAGGGGAGAGGAGAGAAGGGTGATGTCCCTTTGGTTTGTCTTATTCCCAAATAGGGTACCCGCAAGCAACACATGCCATCTCCAAGCAGCAAGGGAAGAAGTACCAGAGCAAGTGACTGCAGACAAACAACTAACACAGGCAAACAAAGCCACCAACCAACCACACAAACAACCGACCAAGCAAACACACCAACCAAATAACACAAACAAGCAAGCGACGGGCAGACAGACAGAAAGAGGCAGACAAACACGCAAGCAAACAACAAGGAAACAAACCACCCAGCAACCAAACATGCATGCGTGCGTGCATGCATGCATGCATGCATACAAGCAACCAAACAACATTACGCAAACAAGCAAGCAAGCGCAACATGCAGAGCAAACAAGCACAAAAAGGCAAGCACGCAAAGAAATACAGAATGCAAAAAGACAGCACACGTAGCATGCATCATTGTTAGGTTGCTTCTTGGGCTGAGGCGCATCAGCTTCTGGCCCCTAGCTACAGCCAGAGTGGCGGGCAAAAGGCGGGCGATCCACTGAGCAGTTCTGTGGCTGTGGTTGTCAAATTTTGGGGGGTTTTCGGTGCACCACCCATTTTAGAACCTATTTTAGTGGTAGGATTGGTTGATGTTCACTGGGGGTACGATTTGGATTTTGACCCATGGCCGTGTGAGTACTTTGCCTTGCTGGTGCAATAGGCAGGGAATGAGACATGGAATGCCCCCTATGAACCATCCCTTGTACCAAAATTTGAGGAGACTCCCCAGGTTCATTCCCTCATTCCCTACTCAGCACCAGCAAGTTGATAAAGCTCAAGCTCAGGGTCTCCAGTGTGCGCGGGTGTGTGTCGGGAACGTTGCCAGACGTGGAGTGTGGAGTATGTATACATGTGTGTGTGTGTGTGTGCGCATGTGTGTGACAGTTATGTTTCGAATCAACGACAGCATACATGTATAAATTCATGCATCTATATGGGCGTGGCTCAAAATTAAACAGGAGCAAACCGCAGGTGTTGGTCCATTTTTCCACTTACCAGGGTAACCCATTTTTGGAATTCCGGTTTTTTGAGCCATAGCCATATTCTGCCTTTTTCAGAGCCTTCCAAGTGACCGTCGGACTTCCGAGCGCCATGAAATTTACTGCTTGGTTTTTGCCCCATTCCTGTCGCAGGTTTCGCGCAAAATCCCTGCGTATCTTTTTTGAGAAAAAGGGGGGCTACATGATCAGGCGGCACTTGGTGGCATCCATCGGGCCGTTTCCAAGTCCTCCAACTTGGGTTGGCTTAAAATGCGCGCCCCGAATGCCAACTTGTAGGGCATATTGTTTGGGAGACATGTGGGTCAACAATGGGTACCCCAAATGGAACCCTTGCCCTAGTAAATGGAAACAAGGACCAAAACATGCGGTCCATATCCATATCCTGGTGGTTTAATTTTGACCCGTACCCACGTCAGGATCTGGGGCTGTTCCCGCGGTTCATGTTTACCCTGTTGCTTATAAATTCTCTCCACTGAGCATAACTTGGACTCCCTCTCAGCCAGGGGGCCAGATGCAAGGGACAAATGTCCAGCGGCTGCTGAAAAATCGGAACATGTGCCAAGCCGTTTTTGCACCGAACGCCAAGCACCCATCCTCTCAGAGATGGAGAATTCGCCGAGGTACCTAGACTTTAGCTTCAAACCATATATTGTCGCACTTCCATTTGTAAGAGCAGTTTGAGGGCCATAAATAAACGGACTAGGGTTACGGGCTAGTTATTTCTGCGGTCAAGCATCTCCTTGCGACTGTCTGTGCGTGCCTGAGAGATGGCAGCAACACGGTTTTAATTTGGCTCGAGGCACCCGTTTACTGGTCTCAGATTATGGTACGGCCTATGTAGTAGCCCATATGCACCAAAGGTCAGCTCGGATGCCCACTGCCTTAGTTGGTGAAAGGCTTTTGGCACGAGAAACTTATATACCCAGAGGCTCCTGGGCTTTCAGTGGAAGACCCGACCCCTCCAGGTTGTTTGAAGGCCCTAAATAAATCGGGAGCCTCCGGGTAAAATAGGTTTCGTCTACCAAAGTTGGGTTTGCTTGTGTGTGGTGGAGAGTAGCGGTGCCCCACTGTCGCTTTCAGTGCTGAAATTGAGGAGAACCTTGGAATTCAATACTCAACCAACTCCACAAAACCATGGGTTGTCTTAGGGACATTTCGAGGGGACACCCTTGGTCCCTCACTTGCAATGTGGCAAAAAAAGAACGCAGGTGGTGGCACACCGGTTTCCACAGAATTTTCGCACAACCCCCGCAGCAGTTGTCGCACATCGGTGGTTCCCTCCCACGGAGTTCGTCAGGCGGAGGTCTTGCGGAGCTTTGTGAAGAGCCTGTCGGCCACCTATCGGCCGGTGGCCTTCCACAACTTCGCGCACGCCTGGCGCTTCAGGGTGGAGGGGTGGGGGCGGAGGCCTCATCGGTTTCGGAGACGGGGGGTGGAAAATACGGAGGGGGGGAGAGTCTCCTCCAACACTGCTAGAGAAAAAGGGTTTCCGGGTAGACTAAACATGCTATAAACCGGATCTGAATATATGAGTTTCTGTGTATCCCACATTGATGTGGGCTGAGAACAGTAGGGTCATTTTTTGGATCCCACAAAGGACGATTTTCCGCATGAGGGGAGCCTTGGAAAAGGTACGGGGCTTTGAGCAATCAACATGGCACAGGATCTGGGCAAATTAGATGGAGCCTCACCGATTCGGGGGTTAAAACGCTTACCTCTCAAAAACACAACTTTTCAACTTTTTGGGTAACATGGGCTATATGTCTGTAAAAGATGAACTTCCCCAGGGCTTGGAGTTTTAAGGGGTAAGAACGAGCAGGGGCCGAATTGTTGAAGTCCTTTACTTGACTGGTAAGAATTTTCCTAGATGGGATCCAGCCCCGCACCCGGGGGGCCCTGTTTTCCAGATTCAAGAGAGGCATGCTTACAAGCTGGCTTAGGAACATGGGTTTGTCCTGTGAACTATCAATACAAAGCACTTTATTGGTTAGCAGATGGTATCCGAACAAGTTCAGATCCTATACTATACTTGTTTGTCATGCACAGTTTCGTTTGCCACCGTCTGCATGGTTCTTGCGCGTCAAGCTGAACTACATCTGCTGGCTTGCGGGTTGGTAGGGCCGGTTCTCAAGGCCTCATGTCAGGGCAACCATGACCATTGCCCACATATCTTGTAGGGTAATGGCACAATTAGAGGAGTCCCGCATTTTGGATTGTTTTTGTTTGGGGGTCAGCCAGTTTTTTCTTTTTTCTGTTGCCTTGCTGGACATGCAAACTTTGGAGAGTACTGCGAATAGACCAGCATTTGTTGACCGAACCTACCGATAATCCCATATATATATATATATGCATATATGTGTTTTCCTGCATCATGAGAAGATATATATATATATATAAGGGTACATACCCCATTCATAAAAAGCAAAAGTAAGGCGTGTGTTTTTTTTCTGTCAAGTGGAACCGAGGCGGTAGATGTGCTGCAGTGCCTTTGTTGGCAGTGCCCGGCCCCCGAGTGCGAAAAACATGCCGAGAAGCGAAGCGCTTGGGTTCCGTGGTTTGATGATAGAAGGTACCTGTTTGGGGTTGATTGAAAAGAGGTTGTCAAACATGATTTGCGGATTCTTGGATGAGGGTCCTAAGGGTACATTTCGGGGGTAATCAAACAAAAATCCTTTTACCAGCTAATTTTGGGAGGATCCCCCTCATGCATTCATTGAGGAATGATGGACTTGGAGGTTCCAGCAAGCGACCTTCTTTTTTTTTTTGACAACCCTCCGTGTCAAGCAAGAGTTGTGTCATGGGAAGGCCCGTGAGCGAAACCGAGAGGGCTACGGGTAAGTGAGCAGCATTTTGTTGGGAATCATGATGCCAAAGCACAGCGCGTAAGCTGAACGTAAGCGTTTGCTTGTAAAAAGTTGTTGAATGCCAGTAGCTTAGCCGCCTGATTCTGCTGCCCGCCTAAAGGAGGCGGGACCTGCTGAGTTTGACGGGGAAGGGGGAACAGGTGTGATGTTGAAATCCATTCGAAGACAAACGTACGCAGAACTAAGGGTGAAACTCGAGTGCTGAGAGAGCGCAAACAAGATGTGGCGACATCCCCGCTCGTGGTAGTTTAAGGGTTCCTCTCTACACGCTTTGGCACCTTACTGCATGGAGACCACAAAAACCAAACAGAGCAATGCTTTGTTGCATTTTCAATGTCCTACCGTATGCCCTTTTGAGTGGATGAGGCTTAAGGGTGACCCTGCGCCAATGTGCTGGCAGAATGTCCATTGCGAGGTCGTGAAAATAAGCACATACCCCAGGCACAGGTGCTGACAGTGCCAACCCAAAACACTTGCCCTTAGGGGTGGCCCAATTCAAGGCAGCAGCATGTTCATTCGTGGAAAATTAAAACCACCCCGTACGTCCTGGTTGGTTGCCTTTTTGGGGCTGGTTTGAGGGATTCCTAGCGAATCAACCCTTAAAATGCCTTTAAACGGAAAAACATAGAATTTCAGGGCATCCCTCTTTTAGGGTAGTTTGAGGGTACCGGTGGCGAAATCAACGCCCGAAATCTGTTGTTTCGATTGGGATCCATGGGAGAGCCCACAAGTGTTCACCTGTTTGCTTGCTGGTTCTCAGCAATGAGGGAACCACCCCCTACTGTGGATGGACAAAATCCTGCGAAAGGTTGGTAGGTGGTTTTTCCCATTTTTGGTGGGGCTTCCTCCATCCCAAGTGCAGCAGTTCGTGAGAAAGCAGTATGAACCCGCCTTCGTGGTTTCTTTCGCAAACACCCGGACAGAACGTGATTTCCAAGGTTCATGCCGGGTTCTGTCCTTTTGGCGGACATTCACAGAGGCTGTGAATACAGGAGGTTTTTGAGTTGTCTCCCTCACAAAATAGGGGGCTTCCACCCAAAAAGCACAGAGTTTGTGTCAAAGCAGGAGGTTATTGAGGTGTATTTGTTGTCTTTGCGGCTTGCCAAGTGCACTGAGGGCGCGGCTCTTTGAGGGGGGGGGGTGAAAAGCAAGTCCAGATCCGAAAAAGGGCGGCCCAGAAAATAAGATAATCCCTCCCTCTCCCCAAAAAGGGGTATATATAAAGTGGGTTGGAAACCAGGGAAGCAAAGGGTATGAACAAGGGGAACCAGGGAAGCAAAGGGTATGAACAAGGGGAACCAGGGAAGCAAAGGGTATGAACAAGGGGAACCAGGGAAGCAACGGGTATGAACAAGGGGAACCAGGCAAGCAAAGTGTATGAACAAGGGGAACCAGGGAAGCAAAGGGTATGAACAAGGGGAACCAGGGAAGCAAAGGGTATGAACAAGGGGAACCAGGGAAGCAAAGTGTATGAACAAGGGGAACCAGGGAAGCAAAGTGTATGAACAAGGGGAACCAGGGAAGCAACGGGTATGAACAAGGGGAACCAGGGAAGCAAAGGGTATGAACAAGGGGAACCAGGGAAGCAAAGGGTATGAACAAGGGGAGCCAGGGAAGCAAAGGGTATGAACAAGAGGAACCAGGGAAGCAAAGGGTATGAACAAGGGGAAAATACTTCCACCCTAGAAAAATCGAGGGTCCCCACTGCGCAGCGCCTAAGGCGAGCACTTGCCGACGATGCTAAGCCCCTCCCAGCGCTTGGCCCTGGGCACTGCGGCGCTGGGGGTGGGGAGCCCTGGCGTTGGATTCCCCAAGAAGTGGGTGGGATGGTGAGTAGTGGGGTGGGATGGTGGGATGGTGGGTGGGTGGTGGGTGGTGGGTGGTGGGTGGTGGGTGGTGGGTGGTGGGTGGTGGGTGGTGGTGGGTAATGGGTGGGTGGGGTGCGTCATCATCATCGTCGTCGAATTCGTTGTCATCTGCATTGTTTTTGTCTTTAGATTTCAAACATGACGTTAGGCCTCGCTTGCAATGTTGGGAATGCGTAACTATCATCATCATCATCATCATCATCATCATCATCATCATCATCATCATCATCATCATCATCATCATCATCATCATCATCGTCATGATGCTGGCGACGTCTCGTCTGTGAGGTGGGGTGGGGTGGGGTGGGGTGGGGTGGGGTGGGGTGGGGTGGGGTGGGGTGGGGTGGGGTGGGGTGGGGTGGGGTGGGGTGGGGTGGGGTGGGGTGGGTGGGGTGGGGTGGGGTGGGGTGTGGGTGGGTGGGGTGGGTGGGGTGGGGTGGGGTGGGGTGGGTGGGTGGGGTGGGGGGGGGTGGGTGGGGTGGGGTGGGGTGGGGTGGGTTGGGGTGGGGTGGGTTGGGTTGGGGGGGGTGGGTTGGGTTGGGTGGGTGGGTTGCTGGGTTGGTGGGTGGGTTGCTGGGTTGGTGGGTGGCTTGGTGGGTGAGTTGGTGGGTGAGTTGGTGAGTGGATTGGTGGGTCGGTGGGTGGGTGTGGGTGGGTGTGGGTGGGCCCGGAATAAGAGCACAGAGAGAGAGAGAGAGATAGCGAGAGAGAAAGACAAGTACAAAGAAGATGAAAACGAGAGAGAGAGAGAGAGAGAGAGAGAGAGGCAGAAACGAACGAACAAACGAACGAATGAATGAATGAATGAATGAATGAATGAATGAATGAATGGATGAACAGTGTTGAATGAATGAAGAAAAGCAAAAAAGAACGAACAAATAAACGAGTGAAGGCAAGAAACATAGAATGAACAGAAGAAAAACAGAAAACACATAGAAGGAAGGGAAGTAATCAAAAGGATTGGTTGATTGGTTGATGGATCAGCATATTATCTGGCTGATTGATTTGGGCCTGTATTCTTTCGGGTCCGCTACAATGGTCCTGGCACGGAAAGGGGCTTCGATAGCAAGCAAGCAAGCAAGGAAGGCAGCCAGGCAAGCCAGCCAGCCAGCCAGCAGGCAGGCCAGCCAGCCAGCAAGCAAGCTTTGGCCTTTTATTTAAATTGCTTGAGCTATTTCCGCCGGATTCGGGCACTCTTGTTGTGAATTGTAGCTTGCAGGCCACAAAGTGTTCAAGGGGGCCACAAGTTTCCAACCGAATGACAGAGAATTTCAAGTTAAGGTGGTCAGTTTGTTTTCTGGTTCTACGGAAGAAATCACAAGGTTTTGCTTGGACAGGGACAGCTTTGTTAGTTGGAAGGGCCTTGTTTATATCAAGGCGACTATGGCCATATCTGGTTTGCGTTGCCGGCAGAAAGCTACAGCAAAGAATGAGGTTCAGGGTGACACTTTGTGTGAAGAGCCAATCTCAGTTTCAGCGTTATGGAATGGTTTCAATTTGGGTTTATGTTGCTTGCGTTTGCTACTGTAATTCTTTGGAATGCACGCACCATGCGCCTCTGGGGACATGAGGAAGCGCAGAACATTTTAGGTTGGCTTTTGATTTGGCAACACCGTACTCACATCTCTCAAAGCCATAGCGATAAAGAGTTGGGTTTTAAGCTACCGCATTCTGTGAGCAGCACAGCAAACCAAGCCCCTGTAGAGTGACGCAGTCATGGGGATGGAAACCAGCTGCTCAACTGTATCGCAAACAAGGGACCGTGTGCTTGAGAAGGGCCAATCCTAGCCATTTTGAACGTGCAAAACAACTGGTTTGAAGGGAATTTTGGTGGATTCTTGGCTTCTTTTGGAAGCTACTGGATTGGCAAGGTTATACTTGCTGGCTTGTCAGTATCTCTTGGCTGACTCTCGCACTTTGTTTACCACGATGTTTTTGACCGGCAATCTGGAGGAAGACCCCACTAGCCAGCTGAGCCACAATCAAAACCCGGTAGATGAAGGTTAGTAAGGGACAATCCCAGCCATAAATTAGCTGCGGACATCCGCCTTCTTGATTCTTTACATGGTTCTGGGTAGACCATTTCAATACCGGGTTTTGATTAGGGCTCAAATGGTCCTGGCACGGAAAGGGGCTTCGATCGGCAGAATGGGGCACTCCATATGACCTATCTGGAGGAAGACCCCACTAGCCAGCTGGTCTTCCAGCTTTCCACTGCCTTCCACTGCTTTTCCGAGGTGGACGTCGGCCATCCTGGCTTTGATAATGCCTTCCTCATTGATGTTGGGGACCAGATTGCATCTTGCCGCAGCCTGAGAGTCCAGTGTGACATGCTGGTTTTTTGAAGGCTCTCTCCAAACCAAGATGGTCAATGACTGGACGAGACTGACTTGGGTGTGGTTGTTTACACTCGTCCTTCAGTGTGATCAGTGCGTTGCCTGAGGCGTTTCCTTTTCGTTTCGCAAAGTGGTCCATGCTGTTTGTTGCCATATCTGCAACCTGAGCTCGAGGCTGCACATACACAGGTGTTGTTCCATCCATACATACTAAACATGAATATACCTGGACCCTCAAACTACCCAAAAAGCGGCACAGCACTCAATAATTTTGAATCAATATGCAATTATTAAGGGTATGTTGAGGGTCCATGTAGGTGTACTCTTCTGTGCAAGCTTGTCATTTGCGTGTGTTTTTCATGCTGGAGGTAGATCCACGCAGCAGATCTAGGTCGTCTTATTTCTGAAAGGGCCCGATGCTTTTCGAGCAATGGCTTTGATTGTTTTGTATTGATCCTGTCGCATTCTGCGATAGAACAGAGGGGAATCTCAGGCTAGTTGGAAATTGAGGTCCTTTCAGCACCAGACTCGAGTCTAGTGCTGCATAGGCAGGCTTCTTTTGCTCTAAGCCTTGCCCAAGCCCTCGAGGTTATAATGACTTTTCGCCGCTGGAGCCGACCCGGCGGTGTTTGCGAATGTCGCTCGGTCCCGCGCAAAGACGGCGTGAGCGAGTTCCGATCTCAGTTAAAGCGGGGAATCCAAGTGAGCCACCATCCCTTAGTCCGGTTTGTGCCTGGCACATCCTGAAGTTGGACGCAACCCCATACGGGAACTACTTCTCAATAGTTTCAGGGGCACCCTGCATTTTCAGCTTCGGAGCCCTTGCGAGCCCATTGCGAGCCCAGGTGCTCCCTTAAGGGGCCTTTGCACCAAAAGCACTGCGTTTTTTTTTGGTCTTTTTTGCCCGGCGGTTCAAGCCTCTCGCCAGGAATATGCACTGCAGCAAGCTCTTCGATGTCCTGAAGAAGGCGCGCGGTTTTCATCGAGCGAGTGAGCCTTGGGCTCGAGTCGAGTCTGAGAAGCGAAGCTAGCCATGCGATCGCTTTCCAGAGAAACCGATTGCAAAACAGTCACTGCGATCGGGTTGCAAAAACCGCCAGCGATCTTTTTTTCTGGCTTTTTGTTTTCTCACTGTTCACCTTTCCGTGCTGGTTCTTGGTTCCCAGCCATCCCCGTAAATTGATAGACTTTTGGGGTTTAGTGGGGGTTTTCGTTTCACCATTTTAGCCCGCTAAAAGTTAAGCTTTTAGCCGGGGATCTGAGAACAGCCCACCGTTGTTTGTGTCTCCCGCCAGGATGGGCACAATGTGCTGGGACATATGCCAGCAGAGGCCGGGTCCCGGCGGTTTGCACCTTGGTGCGCTGACGCGTAGCCCGGAAAACACCTGGAGTCTCCGGATCTGACCCTTTAAAAATGGTTGATCATTACCCAACACAATGGTTGGTCATGGCGGTCATGGACCCATGTTTTAAGGGTCAGAAGGAGACTCCAGGCAGTAACGTCCAGGAAGATGAAATGCGGCTGCAGCTACCTTTCAGTTCCAAAACCCATGGGGTGGCTTTTTGCATCTTTGCTTCCTCTGATCGGACCTGCAAAATGGCGGAAGCACCCGAAGGGTACCCGTTATATACATATACATGTGTCTACATATATATATATATATACAGACAGTTATTGCTGAGTCCTGAGTGCTGTTGTTCCCTGTGTTAGTACGTATTCATGTCAACCATCACGAACTGTTTAGAGGTGGACATATGCTGTTGATTTGGTGATGTCAAAAGGTTTAACTTTCGTGTGGTTCACTTGAGGTGGACACTTTGTTCATTGTGAGGTAGGTTTTTCAAGGTTTGACGCTTTCCATAAACTACATTTGAGGCGAGATCGGCACATCGGTGTCCGCATTTGTGGTCCGCTCCCAGAGAAAACTGTCAACCACATCACAGGAGTTCCGCGAAGCGCGGCGCCTCGTCATCGACGCCATCCTTCATACTGACAAGTATTGCTGGGGCCCCAGTTTTCAGCTACCCGTTGAAGGGTTTGAGGTTCCAGGTGCCCCTTTCAGGGTGATTTATGTTTTGATGGGTAGTTTGAGTTTCCAGGTACCAATGTTGTCGCATTGAGGCTATGGTGCAGGATTGTTCGCTGTGGTGCAGGCTTGTTCGTTTTCCGGCGAGCGGCGTATGGGTCTAAATGGCACTAGTGTGGCTTCCTGATTTGGCAGGTGTCTTGATCTTTGTGACATGCAGCTGCAGAGAGCTGATGAAGGCATAACATCTCTAGTCCTTTCATCTTTCAAGAATACCCCTTTGGCATGCATTCTCGTTCTAGGCACAATGTTTGCAATCTTGCTGTTTCATCCATCTTTTCAGTATTACTGTTGTCTCGACCTTGAATTGCTTTTGAGCCTGCAGTAATAGCTCAATGACATAGCACACAGACATGGGTAGATCTGCTGGCAGTGTGGATTTCTGAACTGCAGGGGCAAAGATTCCAAATTGTTTAGCATCCGTTTCCCTTGTTTTTCACAACAGGGTTGTGGGATCCAGGGTTTATCCCCATCCCCCATGGGGGGTTAGTCTTTGGGAAGCCCCTTTTGTTGTATCACAGCGGATTCCATTTTCCACAGCCCTGTACCCAATTGGCTGTGGCTCAAAACATGGAATCCCCAAACTGGCAGCTTGTATGGAAACAAAGACTAATACCTGCGGGTTGCCCCAGCTGTGTGAATTTGAGCCACACCGAACACGCCGAACCAATTAGGTTCGTCACCTCTTTGCGTGAGCGCGTAGCATTGGACCAGCCACCGCTCAAAAGAGAGTCTGGGGTGCTCACGGGAGCAGCTTCCAGTCATGTTTGCCCCAGCGTGTTTTAGATTCGCCCCAGGGTTCAACCCCCATTAAACGAAAGGTTGACCGAAATTGATGATGACTATCCTTGGGTAAGCCATGGTTATTTGAAAACCCAGTTGTTTTTCCATGTCGTTGTGAAGCTCTGGGGTTAGTGTCAAGCCTTAAAAGAGAGGCACCTGGCTGGTGCTGTAGGGCCTCCGGCCCTTACAAGCCGCCGCCCTTACAAGCCGCCACCCCCTTGCGGCCATTAAACGATCGAGATGGCCCCGGGCAACCCTGCATTCCCGTAGGGCCCTCCTTGCTGTTGCCAACTCAGTCCAGTGATATGCCCCCTTTTCCCTTTTGTCGTTACGGGAATTCCCCAGGTCAAGAGTATATAAAGCAATAAGCAACTTTTTTGGACATTCATCTCACGATCGGAAGCCATTGGAAGGGGAGCCAGAGCAAAAAACTTGAAGGTATTTTCTGAGAGCACACACCGCCAGATGCCATTTGGAAGTATTTGTGTACATGGCGTGCCTTTGTACGGTGGACGTATGGCACAATGTGCTTTTCTTGGGTGCCGAATTCCAGTCCCCACAATCTGCTTCGTATACGGATATTCAAGGATGAACGTTTTGAATGGCGGCTTCCAGTGGCAGTGCTGGAAAGATCTGCCCTTAGGGAAGTGGAGGGGCCGTTTAGGGAAGCATGCTGTCAACATCCGATTGCCAAGGGCGTCCCACAGGGTGCGGCTGGGCATATCAGTACAAGTCGTACTCGTACAGGTGGCTAGTCTCTTTTTTGAGGGTGCCCTTGTTTTCTGGGTCATAAAAGGAAACTACTGGGAAAGAACCACACGTTTTGTTGGGTCCCTAGGGACAAATATCAATTCGGGGTGCATCCGGATCCGGGGTCATCAAGTCTACGCTTTGACTAGGTCCCCCAGCAATTGGTGCCAACGTTTACCGATTCTTTTTTGGTTGGGAGGGTTCGGGACCCTACTAACATAGACTACAGACATAAAAGTGGGTTCCAACTTCTTCTAACCTCTCAACTTCCCCCAGAATTAGCTCCCCCTTTTGTTTTTGTTTTTTTTTGGCTTTTTTGGGGTCCCCTTTGTTTTCCACCAACCAGGCAAAAAATATATCTTTTGCTGGGGTCCTAATTCCAGCCAAGTCAACTGGAGGACCTAGTCAGGGACCTCTCTACTGGAGGACCTAGGGATGCACTGCTTAGGCCACAAAGATGTGCTCAACGACGTGCGGGCACTTGCCCGCCAAGGCCTCCCTTGAGGGGTCGGATCGTGTTGTTTGGGGCAACCAATCCACGTGGAGCAACAAGTTTAGGACATCTCTGGGAAATCAAGCGATTTCACAGGAAACACAAGCAAGCAAGCCGGTACAATACAGTACAATACAGTACAATGCAGAACAGTATCCGATACGATACAATGCCATAGACAGCGCACTACAAACAAAACCATATGCACAAGACAGTGCAATACAACCGGACAAGAAAAAAACTGCAAACAAATCAAGGCAGGGGATCGCACACTTTGAACGGCTTCTACAAGGATGTATTATCTCTGTTCCTGTTTATCGGCATATGGCCTGCTGCGGCTTTGCCAGATTCATTTACACAAAGAGCCCATAGGCTCATCTAGAAACAGGTAATCGCCTCATGTGGGCGCCTTTTTCAAGGCGCCTTGTTGGGAGCCATCATTTGTTTTGACAAGTGTCCATGTTGCATCACTTGTCACCCAGGAGTTGCTCGACTCAACTGTTGGTTAAAAAAAAAAAAATCAAGCAGCTTGCAGATGGCATCGTCAACGCACCAAAGGCACACCACGTTTACACTTCCGATGCTGAACTGAACAGCCGGTGCGTTGTTCCTTCATGGAAGACAGCAGGGCACCGAAGATCGAAGCATGTCACAGTCTTAAGCTTCCGTGCCAACAATCCCGAGATTCTTTTGCATGAAAGAAGCTTCCCTGGTCCAGTGGACCCTTTCTTGTAAAGAACGTACCATATCCGTCGAAATTGGGGAACCCAAACAATTGATTTCGCTGTTTTTGTTGGTGCCCCTTTCAAGCAATCTTGACAAGGGCGTCAACTCCAAAATACAGAAGCCCATATACTTCTCCAGACTTGCTATAGATTTAAAGAGGCTCAGCTTGCCCACCTGTACCTGCGCCGAAGTGCAAGGAGGTTTTTGCCTTTGCTTGCATGGGGGGGGGGGGGGCAGAATCATCTTCTGATGTTCCAACATTTGAGGTGTTTTCCATTGCCCCAAACCACCCGGCTGAAGGATTGGTGTGTGTGTGTGGGTTGTGAAAACCATCTCATAGACCACAGAGTGTTTGAGTGTGTTTCGGTGAGTTTTTTTTAAATCCAGCCAACCATGGCGTATGTGTTCCATGGTCAGTTTAAGGGCATGCAATCACAGCCTTGGGGAAGCTCCAATCACAGCCTTCGCGGGTGGTTTCCTTCAGCCGCACAGACCCTCAGAAAGTTGGAGAACAGTTGATTCCTTCAGCCGCGTTTTGGGGGCGTGCGGGGGCCTGCCAGGCTACACACCAAAGAGTGTCGATTTTACTACTGAGGAAGGCGGGGTTCGCTTTACTTGGTGCTGAATGGCACATGTTCAACTTCTGGCCCCAAGACAAACCAAACGGGAATGATCACTCTGTTTTTGTTGTACAAACCCCACCTTGGCCATCAGTTTCATGTCGATGTGGAGAAGGTTGGCTTGAATGTATCTCCTAAGGAACCCAAGGGAAGATGGATGTTTGCCCATGTCTGGTTTGAGGCTGTGCAAGTGAACGCTGGATGGGGCCCATGTCTTGATTTGCCCTTTCCACTCTAAAGATGGGCGTTGAGACACTGGCGCAAACGGGTAGATGAAGCTTAGGGACAACCCCAACCATGACCAGGGGCGGCCGCTGCTTGAAATTTGTTTCATCTGGGTGCAACACCAGGTTTTGATTATGATTCACTTGTCGCATATCGCTTGAAGCCAGTGATCACGTGACTCCGGAAACCCCAAAGGCGCCGGAGAAGCCTTTTAGAAGCAAACGGCTTTTCCACTCAACCTAGAAAAGGTGAAGCTCAAGATGCGTGCGGCGTTGGAACCTGTGCATGAGTAGAGTCTGATTGGGTCGAGATGACCAGTTTTTTTGCACCAAAATTGAGCCGGGCAGGTTGGACAAGGGTGCGGTCTTCTCATGAGTGCGTGTAGTGATGCGATTATTTGCGCAAGGTTCAGTCTAAACTAATTTCAGAAGTGCGCATAGAGTCATCTTAGAGCAACCCAGAGACAGCTGACCAGTTGAACATGTTGAACTTGTTGGCCCAGTAAAAGACTCGAGTGGGAGCTCCAGAAAGGCATGTCCGCTTGCCTGAAGAAATGCGCTTCTCAACGGTGAGTTTGCGTCAACCAGCTGTGTCACCATGCCCAATACGTCCAGTTGGCACCAGAGCAGGTCACCATGTATTTTTACCTGATAGTTTCCCCTAGCAACTGGAATCGCTGGGATGGACTGGACATGTACATCCTTTGAGACAAGACTTTGCGCGGCTGGATCAATTGTCCATTCTCCCCAAGAAAGGGATCGATCTCCCGAAACAGATTTCTCGATGGATTCGATGGGTTCCAGATTTTGCTGACACGTTCCCTTAGGATGTGGGTCTGTGTCTTCATTTGTTTGGGAATCGGCGGCCCCAAATGGCGTTTCTTGGTGTTCTGTCGGGTTTTTCTCTTTCAATCGCACCAAAACGGGGTACGAACTCCAAACAAGACATTTGGACCCTCAAATACCCTGAAAAACGGGCGATCGCCCCATCATTTGCAAGTGGTTTTCCATTTTTTCTCTTGAGGGTCTAGGCCGAGCCATGTACTTGACCCTTTTTTTTGCACCCCCCTTGGGACCCTTGGGACCCTGGGGGTTGGTTTGGGGAGTCTTCCTTTGCCAGGTGCAGAAATCCTCCAGGCGCCGCGCGCCCTTCCGGCCCGCTGCCAGCCATTTTGATCGAGTTGGGTTCCCTTTTTGTGGTTGGGTTTACCAATTTTGCCACGAAGAAGACTTGGGCACTGAGGACCAATAGGTGATCACTAACAAGACCTTTTGGATGCCAAAAGGTCTTTTGAGTTGCAAAAGGTGGGATCTGATATCACCTTGTTATTGGGTTGGGGTTGGGGGCAACTGAGTCAAAGGCAACCTGCCAGGCAACCGCAAGGAATGTGTCCCAGGGATGAAGATGAAGGATGAAGGGGATTTGCCAGCCCATTTTGAACAGCCAAGATCGTAGGTAACCCTTCGCCATTGTCCTTTGGGTTTTGAAAGGGTGGGAAACCCCTTTGTAACCCAAAACAGGGACATGGAATCACTATGAGGTACTTGACAAATTTCCAGGTGGAATTCCTGTGGCTGGTTTCTATGAAGAGTGCCACCGATTTTTATGGGTTCCACCGCTCGGGGGGGCACCAGCGAAAGAAAAGTCAGGCTGCAGGTTCTGCACCTCCCAGAGGCTCCTGGAACTTTCAATGGAAGACCCGACCTCTCCATTAGACACCCCGAAAATCGGTGGTTGGGTCTCAACACCAGGTTGTTTGAAGGCCCTAAATCAATCGAATTGGAGCCTCCGGGCTAGGAGATAAGCCCGTCTTCCGGGCTTTCGTGGTTTGTACATTTTTTCTCAACTTGCAACAAACAAATCCGGCGCCTGGCCTGGGTTGCTTGGATGTGTTGCAGTTTTGCCCTGTGAACCTGCTGGCCCCACTGACTGACCCCAGAAGCAGACAGAAGAGCTACGCTTTCAGCTCCACGCCAGTGAGGAAGACGCAGTTTGCGAGGTTCCCAAAACCAGATGGCCTAAAGCACCCCGGATTAGCCACGCGAAGCAGGATTTTTGTGGAGGGAAGAACAAAGGGCTGCACATTTTGATTGGCATAAACAGCCAGGGTGTACCGGGCTGTGCTGCCACCTGATTTCTTGAAACGAATTCCGACTGGCGAGGGTCGGGTGATGTCCAGGCGCTATCCCGTGCACTTCTTGTTCTTGCCGATCTGTCACACCAAGCAAGGCCTGGCAATCATGGCCTGAAATAGAACGTCGGAATCGCCGGCGGTTCCCAGCCACCAGACAGACATTTGGGCTTTCAGCATGCAGAAACCACAAGAGACCAACATCTTTTTCGGTATGGTTTTTTCGAAGCGCAAGGAACACGGAAGGCCTCATTGCCATGTCGCAATAGCGGTGAACTACATTTCCCATGTCCATGGGTTTGTTCGAACTGGCAGTTGGCCCTCATACAGCTGGCAATTACGACATTGAATCTGGCAGCATGTCCATAGTGGAGCCAGAGAACGACGCATTGGCCATCAAGGTGTTCTGTGACAATATTCTTGGTTTGACTGCCTTCTCCTGCACCTTCTTCGGAGACATCTTGGTGGAGATATTCTTTCCGGCGAGCAGTGATGGTTCCAATGGGAATGACCCTAAGGATGGCCTGGAGCTGTACAAAGTCTGAATTCGATCCGCAATGTTCAATGGATTCTGCTGAAGCAGGTCGAAGATGCTGCCAAGGGAACTGCCACGGGGCCAGCTCTTGGTAGCCTATGATAGCGTTTGCAGCTAGCCTTAGTGTACCCTTACCTTTGCCGCAAGAGGCCCAGACAGTTGCAGCAACGTCCACCTTGCGTGCACGATCAATTTCTTTTCACAGGACCCGCGAATGAGGCCACATGGGTGTGTCTTGTTTACGGGAACCCCCCCTCCCCAAACTTTAAAACCCCCCGAGGGCGGGCGATGAAACACGGCTGCCACTTCAATGGCGGGTGTCATTCCATCGTAGCGCGCACCACTTCATGCCACTTTTTGCCATCATCTACCACCGTGCCACTCCATGCCACTCCTTGCCACTCCATGCCTGGAGTGGCATGTGGCATGGAGTGGCATGGAGTGGCATGGAGTGGCATGGAGCCGGACATCCCGTGGGTGTCCGTTTTGGTTTGCCCTTAAAACCTGACATCAAAAGGAGGTACCCTCAAACAAGACGCGCCCATATGGCAGCCATGCCCCCTTTTTGAAAGAGTGGTTGTTCCCAGCCAAACAATGTTGCACCAACACGGACTATCCTTCAACTTGTCGGGACTCGATGTGTTTTGGCGATTTGTCCTGAGCTTACAGCGATGTTTCGCATATGGTTGCAGATGATTGGTGGTTAGGGCCACTTTACCTGATAATATAGGGCCCTTCCTTTGCACCACTTGAAGTATGTGGATGATAGTCAGCCACTACACGGTATCACTGAAAGCGGCCATTTTTCAGATGGCACCCCAAGATGGCACCCAAACAGGGTCCCCCAAGAAGGGATCCCCCAATGCCGCTGTCTGGGTTTCATGCAAACCTTGGGAGTAAGCCCACAACCATAGCACGGAGTGTTTTGGAACATCATCTTGAAGGCCCCCCCGAAAGAAAATCGAAACAACTAGAAACATGAGCTGTTGGTTCCATGTCCCCTCCCACCCTTCTCACATGGAACCTGATCTTTTGGGGGACCAGGTGCGCACCATTTTCCTTAAGGGACCGGGTCCCGAAATGTCGACCGGTTTGGTGGGAGGGTACCTCGATGTATCAACCATAGGGTTTCATCTGTCCCAAGTGGTGCAAAATGGATTGCATCCACCAGTAGGGCTCCTTTTGAGACTCCATTGCTTTGGGAGGTCCCAGATAACCATGAGATGAATCTGAATCCCAAGGAGATTCACCCCAACCAAGGCCAACCACCAGGCAGGGTGTTCCCACTCAGGATGCCACTCTGCTCTGGGCTGGCGGAAAAACAACAGGCCGTTGGACACCGCCAACGCCTGGGCGGCCGTGCTCCAGACGGAGCTCAGTGCAGCTCTGAGATGCGGGGGGTCAGATTTGTGGGTGAGGGGTTCTTCAAGGTATCTGTTTTTTCAGGCGACCCCCGCCCAAAAAAATGAAAGAGAAGATGACGAGGTGTTTGATGTTTTTGTTTTTTCTCCCACGACAGCAGGTACCCTCGAAAAAGCACAAACAAGGCAGCTGGTCCTATAATCTGCCGCTTCCAACTTAGCAACTTTGCATGTTCAAGGTCAAAGATGGACCAGAATTATTCCCTAAATTAGGGCTTGGACCCCAAACTGGCTGCAACCACTTTTAGCAACATGGATCTGAAATTTAGTAGGGACCCTTTGGTGGACATCGATTCGGTGGTATATGTCCACCAACCACTTTTCAGGGGGTTCCAACCAAAGAAACTCATAGCCATACGGGCCATTATCCAAAAGTGACACGATTGGTCAGCGAGGTGGAGGGTCTTTTGATACGAGGGTTTCCACAAAAACCACCCCGCCTTGGGTGGTCTCAGCCCGAGAAACCACTGAAAAGCGGCTTGTGGCTGACCCAGCCCTGGGAAGACTTGCTGACCATGCCTACCTGTTCGCAACCCCGGAAACCAGGTCTTCAAACTGGCGAGGAGGGAATGGTCATCTGATTTCCTTGTGTAAATGCATTTGTCTGGGCAAAAAAGCCATACCCTCACGTTGAATCCAATCGCGAGGTAATTTGTTTTAAAATAGAGCCCCGTACTCCACAAATAGCAATTCTTATTCCCAATCATTCCCAAAAGGCTTCCCTGTTTCTGCTAGGGTCACTGAGGCACTGTCGGGGCATATATGAGCCATGGTCAAAATGACGGGTCCCCAAGAGGACATGGCAAGTGAGTCCCAAGGGAAGCTTAGTGAGGCGTGAGCCCTTCCACAAGGACAACAGACTGATTTGGACCGAACCCCCGTTTTTTTTTTTGTCAGGATACCCCTTTCTGTTGGTTGTGTTGAAGGAAAACCAACAGGAGAATCATAAGTTTGGGCTCCGTCCAAGGCAGCCAAGATGAGCGGGAACGAGAGATGGGGCTGCAGGCTGGGAAGTCACTCGCCAGTCGCTTGGGATGCCTCGGGATGCTCTTTTGTTGCTGCTAGTTCGCTGTGAAAAGCAAAGTCCGCGCAAACCATCACGCTTTGTGTGGTGGTAGAAGCGCTAAACGAATTCTAATGGTTTACTGTTTACTTCTATAATCATGATTAAGTAACAATTATATTGGTTTATTCCTATCATGACGAAGTATGGTGTAAACGTGCCCCCCAGCCCATTCCAATTTCGGACTATTACTGAGTACCAGGATGGCTCCGTACATTGGCCCATGGCACTTTCAAGTCGGCAGTCGGGAGCCCATAGAACTTGGGAGCCCAGAGAACCTGTTGAGGTGTTCTATTCGCCGAGGGTCTTCCTCGCTGGTGTTCCTGGGTACTAGCCATGTGCTTTGAGCATCCTGAGGTTGTTTTTGGCTGAAAGCTCGTGGAATGTTCAGCGGGGACAGCCGACCCCTATATTGGTTCAGTCAGCTTGCACATGGAGCTATGGGGGGTCCGGGGGCGCGATTCGTGCATTAACGCATAGGAACTGCATTCGTGCATTACCCGATTAACACATTGGCGGTTTTCAAACGTTTGATTTTGGATCGTTGAGGAATTTAGAGAAGTGTTAGACTGATTCCCATTGAGGATGCCACTACTCACAGCAGCTCGACCCCCCCAAACGTCCACGTCGCTAATTCTCGGCGCGCGAGCAGCTCCGCGCGATCTAGATTGGGATCGGATGTCCCAAAGGAGTGTGCCCATTTTTTTCTGGAAGTGACGAAAACGACTGCACGTGCCCGTTGTTTTTCCTCAGAGGTGGTTCCCCTTTGAAAATCACGACTAGCAAGAAGGTGCCTTTGCTGTCACTGGAAATCTGGAGGTCCAGGCGGGGGGGCCATGAATGTTCCTCTTAAGTCTTGAAACGACTCGCGAATCCGCCTCATTGCCTCTCACATGTACATTGTCTTCGGTTCCGTGCCGAGACGCCAGGTTCTGCCATTAAATCGGTGGAAGCTACTTGTCTCAAGCCCGTTGCGCGGGCGGCGACGTTTTTGAAACTGTCATACGGGCTGCGGCTCGTTTTCTGAGGGTTTTTCTTTTAAATGCTTGGAACAAGGTTTGGGCTCCCTCCTTGGCACATATACCCAACGGACAATGCTTTTAGTCTGTCAGTTTGGGAAGGACCAGAAGGGGGCATCATGTTTTTCCACAAAAACGTTGTTGGACCGGGCCGATGTTTTTCCATGCCCCTCTTGAGAAAACAATAAACTCTGTGCAGGGCTCAGTCCCCAATCAGTTAAGCAGCTTACTCGTGGGGCTTCATTTTTTGTGGAGGCCACCCATGGGTTTGAAAGAAGACCCAAAGGGATACCACTCATTTTGTTCGTCGCTGAAGCCACACCCATACAGAAACCGCAGCCGGTTCGTCCTTGCTTCCCGGACCAAGAGATTTGCCTGGGAAACTCATACTCATGCGTTAAAGCATGTTGGAACCAGTTTCATCCTGGTGCCAGATTGAGTACTCAGCAGTCTCTGCGGGCTGACTGGAAGGTCTAAGGTATTTTATCGTTGTCTCGGGCTTTAAATCATCGCTAGACTGAACTGACCGCTTGTTTTTGCTTGCCCTCAAAGGGGTTCTTCAGGTCCCTTTTTAATCAGCTAAATGTCAAGCTGTTTTCAGGGGGTCTAAGTCAGGTCAAGTAATCAGGAGCAGAGCACCCTCCCTGACAGAAGCTCTCAGCAGCGAAGCTTTGGCTGCGCCACTGTGGCCCGTCGATTTTGCTTCGGGTGACGTGATAAGTAAAGGGTCGATGACATATCTCACACTGGCGACAGCGTTCTTTTTTAGCTTTTGGGCCTCCTTCTTCTAGGCGCATGGCAAAAGGGTCCCCACGAAAAGCCTGATCTTTGGCGTGCCATTTGCGAGGAACAGGGCACGGGTTGGGCGAAGAACATTTGGGACACCCACTCCCAATGGGTGCGGAAGGACAACGGCCTTGCTTCAGCCAAGGGTGCAGTCGGGGCGTTTTTTGGTGGATTACGGCTCCCTTGCTTGCTGGGTCTCTTGTGGCTCCCTTTTTGTGTGCAGTAGACTAGCTTTTCTGGACACCTTGCCAGAAGATCAAACAAACCCAACGTCTATGAGTCTGATTTGGTTGACCATTACTAATCCCATTGTTGTGGAATAAAAGGGTCTAGGGGTATCTTCTGTGCCAAAGGAGTGCCCTTCAAAGTGATGAAATAGTCGCGAATGCACATGTTGGGGAACCCTCCACTTGGAAGGCCATTCTTCTTCACAGGCTTATCGAAGGAAGATGGGGACCCACTTTGGTACTTGAATGTTCGGCCAAGTTAGTAAGTGGTTAGTAAATCCAAGAAAAACAGGGTTAGTTCGGCTGAACGGGGACTTCTGAGTGGGTTATAGCCTAGGTCACCACAAAACTTACTTGGGCAAAGACCCAAGTGGCCGTGGGTCAAAACTAATGGCACCATTTTGGGATAGGTGCACCACTCATTTTCGTCTATTTTAGTGGTTGGATTGGGATGTTCACTGGGGGTACGATTTGGGTGTGGGTCAAATTAAACCACCAGGGGACCGCAGGTTGTAGTTGAAGTTTCCATTTACCAGGGCAAGCCATTGTGGGTACATATTTTTGACCCACCGCCATTTGAGTTTTGACCCATGGCCAAGTAACCGAGACTTCAGGTTGCTTCCCACTGGCTGAGGCCCTCGCGTAGCGACTTGCAGCTCCACCTGGCCATGAGCAGATCAGGGCGGGGTCGCGGGAACCGAACAAATTGATATGGGTGTGGGTCCCTCCAGGGGCTGGAAAAGGGGATCACCCCCTATTTTTGTGGCCAGGGTTTGCGAAATCCGGGCTCCCATTACTTTGCTGCATTCTGCCAAGGGATGTTAGGACTGAACAACTTGTTGCCAACTAAGGGGTTTTCCAGTAATGCTACCCTTTTCCCCGATAGTCGATGGGGTACCCCACAATTATGATATTGCCATGAGTCAAAATCCAAATCGAACCCCCAGCAGGGCTCCTAAAAAAAGATACATGTTGCCCATTTATTTGAAACATGTTTTTTCCACCAAAATAAAGGGACACCACCATTTACAAGGCAATGATCAGGTGTATAATGTAGGGATACCTGCCAGTGAACATCCCAATCCCCACTAAAATGGACTAAAATGGGTGGTGCACCGACCCCAAAACGGTACCATTGGTTTTGACCCACAGCCATTTGGGTGTGGGTCAAACAAATAGGTACCCAAAAACTGGTCCATGACTTCATTATTTTGGAGACTCCAGGTACCCAAAAAAGAACCCTGGTAAATAAAAATTGGGGTACTTTGACCCTTTGGATAGTAAACCCATCCTGAAAGTGGTGAAGACCCCGCACATTCCTATTGATACACTACGAGTATCAATCTGGGGCTTCCAAATCATGGGATTTTGCATGGAAAGGCGAGTGTCACTTGCAGCCACCGGTTTGGGCCACAGGTTGGCGAGTGTGCCATTTACCCATTTTGTGGATGGACCAAATCCCGATTTTGATGGGATCAAGCTTGCTCTTTGGCGGTAGCTCTGGCCATGGATCAAGATAGAATCAAGATGATGGGGGGTCAAAACCACCAATCTCAACTTGCGGCGACTTTTTGTTTTTGCGCAGTGCCGACAGAAAGGGCGAACATCATGACAGCGGCTTGGGCCGAAAGGCGAGTTTTCCATCCCTCAAAGCAAGGGCCACTGTCTCCCAGAGGTTTCGCCCTTACAGTCGGTAAGCCTTCGAGGCATGTTCCTTTTGGGGCTTTAAGGGTGGCAAGCCCTTGGTTACCCACAAAACCAGGTAGAAATGGATCCACTCCATGGGTTAGATTCTTGGCTGCACTCTTGTTTGTCCATCCCCATTGTACACTTCGTCGGCACAGATGGATCGATTTTCCCAGCGCGGCTTTATGTGCTGAACCAACTTGCGAAGTGCAACGAGGACAGCCCAAGAGCCAAAACCCAGAAGTGGGACAGACTTTGCCCGAAAATTCCGCCCCCTCCTTCAACCACGAGTCATTGGGCCCTTGGGGGGCGGGGAGGGAGCGCGAATTAGCTCTCGCTTTTTTGGCGCTCCCTCCCCCTCCCCTCCCTCCCCCTTCAGAGCCTAACGAATACGTCCAGATTCTTTGGAGGGCTTTTGGGAGTGGCTGGGACTGCTTCCCTGCCCGCTAAGAGTAAAACAAGCAGCATGCCCCACATGAGTGGCTATCCTTCTTTTTGAGCTGAGCTGAGCAAGGTACGTCTCTATAGCAAGCACACACAGACACCAACACACGCAAGGACCATCCAGCACCAGTTGGTAGGTGGTTTGTCAACCAACATTCAACCGGATTCAAATTGGGTTTCATCCATCTCAACTGAGTTCCTGGTGTCGATGGGCTTGGATTTTGCCCTTGACACGGCGCTCCGACGTTCGCGCCGGTCGAACCGATCGACGGAGGCCCCTACTGGGTGCGCTGCTTCACATCTTCCCTGCCCTGGAACCGGCCGGTGGCCCCGGGGATCTGATCAAGGCGAATCCACTGGAGCCGCAACTTCCCCCAATTGGTGCCCACTTTGCCCGTTTCTCTGTTTTGGTTGGGAGGGTTCGGGACCCTACTAAAATAGACTACAGGAAAAAAAAGGGGTACCCTGGTTCTAACCCCTCTACTGGAGGACCTAGATAATCAAAACCCGGGTAAGTGAAGGCTTGTAAGGGAAAGTCCCAGCTAGAGATTTCGTGGCGGCAGCCAGAATTAGATCTTTACATTGGTGTGGGTACACCATTTTTACATACCGGGTTTTGATTGCGACTCATCTGACCTTTGAGTTTTGTGACCCCATTGTTTCTGGATTTCTTGGTACTGAGTCAAATGTCGCGTCCAGAGGCGTGGGCTTGTGAAACCCAGACATCCTGGTGGTGTCCTTGTTTCAACTTTTGAAGGGTTCCTGTTCTGGTTTACTGGACCCGCAACATATCTTACAACATGGGCTACTGCCCCACAATTGTGGGGTGATGTGCTATGTTCATAGGTGGAGGGTCCAAGTGAGAGGTTCCATTGAAAGTCATCGGATTAGTCGTGGGAACTGACCAAAGGTATCAACGGATTCTTTGCCTGAACGGCCACAAGGTCAAGTACCAAGGGTGTTGGTCAACATAGAACATGGAACCCAGAACATGGGGTGATTTCCCTGTTGCCATGAAATGCACTTTCACAGACGGGCACCAACTTTAAAACATCTATTACTGTTTGAAGTGTGTTGACCCTCTGGCTCATGCTACCCAAGCAGCCAACAAAGGGGGCAACCATCAGATATTGGAATGACTGAAGTAATCACCCTTCCATCGAAAAGACCTTTGGAGGAACATTAAACCCATAGTTGGATACTAAGTGCTCGTGCATGGATACTCCAAGCTAGGAGTGTTGGATAGATGGGTGTATACTTGTTGGGGGTACCTTTGTTGGGTGGCTTTAAGGAAACTCAAAAGGAACACCACATCTTGTGTGTCTCTTTGTTTTGTTGCGGAGGTCCCTAAAAACACACACACACACACACACACACACCCAGATTGAACACCAAATGTGAGGTACCGGTACCTCGACTTGCTTTTGCCTCTGGCGATCCTAAAGCCACTGACGAACGATCAGAGATTGTGAAAGCCTCGTGAGCGAAGGTTGGTGCCTATGTTGCAAAGCAGGAGGAAAGGAGGTTCCTGGAATATGGACTTGTCTGGAAATAGGTTATGAAACTCTCCAAACAGGTGTTCTCCTTTGGGTGTCCCTTTAAAATAGAGCAACAAAGGGTACCCTCACAAAAAGACGGACTCATATATTTTGTTTTTTGTGATGGGGTTGCATCTTCATTGCCTTGTTTAGGAAATATTCATTGCACACTTCGGCTTATTGTCCATACATAAGGGAAGCAACTGTGGAATAAGGGAATTCAATCGGCATGGGGTTGTGGCGTGATTGAAAGCCAACCGAAGTCATCGTCATAAGGACAACATGTTAATCATGATTTAGCCCCCGCATATCTGGTGCAGCAAGCGGGATGTGCTGGGCAGATGCGGGGGATTATAACTAACTGACTTCACATGCTGATGACCCCTCGAACAATGCCCGTTTGACATGATTGCCTACATTTGGTACTCCAACTCAGGAAACAAATCAAAAAACATTGCCTGTACTGTTGAGGGAGACTGTTCAGCATGGGGTGCTTTCCCGTGAAGTGTAGTAGTTGAATACGTATGAGAAAGCCAGGATCCCATGTCTATTAAGGATCCCTCAAAGAGAAGACCTCAAAAACGGCTCTCAAAGGAGCCTCACTCTGGGTGGAGGAAATCCATTACGCACCACTTGGGATAGGCGAAACCCTATACTGGTTGATAATTTGAGTTACCCTCCCAATTCACATGGAACCTGACATTCGGGGGTCCCTTCGAAAGACAATGGTCCAAACCAGGACCCCCCGAACGTCAGGCTCCATGTTAATTGGTGGGAGGGAGTAACCACCGACAAACTGGTGCGTGTCATGTTTTTTCTTCCATTTGCTCAAGAGCATGTTTTCCTTCTCCTGTTGGTTTTCAAGGGATTCGATTTCACGACTTGACATATCCTCTCATTGTTTCCTTGGGGACTTTATTGCAAATGCCGGTATTCTCCCCACCTGAACCCTCAATCTACCCTTAAAACAACCGGGCCTTATCCCCCATAATTTTTTGGGACCACCGCCCATTTTCCCTAGGTCCCCCAGCTAGGTGCCAACTTTACCGTTTCTTTTTGGTTGGGAGGGTTCCCCTACTCAAATAAACTACAGAAAAACCCTACTCAAATAAACTACAGAAAAAGGACAAAAACCAATCTGGTACCCTTATATTCCAACCGCAAACTACCGGACCTAGTTTTCCCGTGCCCTTTTGCCCTCTTTCGGGGGAGGGTTCCCAATTTTTCGGGGGAAATTCGAGGGTCCAGGCCCAGGCTCCATGATGGGACTCCGTGCACCCCGAGGCCTCCACCCGTCTGGCGGAGAATGCCAAGAGCCCCTCAGCTCAGCGGATCGGCGGATCGGCGCCTCCACAGTTGGTGGTACATGGTGGTACAAGAATCCCTACCGAATTCTGATGTCCACCAAAGGGTCCCATTTTAGTTATGTATTCAGCATTTGCCGGTGTTAAACATCACCTTTTGTTCCCCTGAACGTAGCTTGTTCTCTTCAAAAGGGCTTCGCCATTGTCAGAGACACATATGGCGGTGGACATTTTGCTAGGGACACCAGGCATTTGAAGTCCGTAGTGTAGTTTGACCACTTTTGCTGTCTATTCAAGGTGTGCTGTTTTACTTGAATATTTTGTGGCACTGTTGAAACGGGTAGGGGCCAACACTAAGCCCGGGGACCACAGGTTTTAGTCCTTGTTTCCATTCACCAGAGTTCCCCAAAATGGGTCTCTGCTTTGACGAAGCTTGTCAAGGGCCGACCAAGTAGGAGATTTCCACGTGAGAAACTGACTACTGGAAATCTACTGTCGGTTTAGGCACTGGGGACATGGGGACAACCCAACCTTCCCAGTCTCAGGGAACAAGTAATATGGTCCATGGGTCATGTGCTTATAAGCTAAGTCGAGAAATCGCCTCCACGCTGTCAGCTTTTATTTGGCTGCTGAATAGACAGACATCCAAAGCAGGGTGTCCATACCCAAACAGTTTCCTTTTTGGGTGCAGGGCAAAATCCATGCACCTTCGCCACGCAATTTGTTGGGATGTGAGGGTCAACTAGGTCCCCCAGTAGTGCCCTTTTACCCTTTTATTGGGGGAGGGTTCCCCTACTAAAATAGACTGCAGAAAAAGTTGGTACCCTTATTCTAACCTCTCTACTGGAGGACCCAGGTGAGGGTCAAGGAGCCTACCCAGTGGTGCCATAGTGCCATTCGCCTTGCAGGCTGGGCCGAGGATATTGCTGCACAAGATGAGGTGGGCGCGAGCGACGGGGCGGAAAAATAATGCAGACGTGGCCGGTCTTTCATGTGAGCCCAAAGACCCCTTAGACCTGTTGGAAACAAATGAGCCACAATCAAAGCGGTAGAGACCCCTTAGAGTTGGAAACAAAGGAGCCACAATCAAAGCGGTAGATGAAGGTTAGTAAGGGATAATCCCAGCAGCCGCGTTGTGATTTTTTTGTGCCTTGTTCTGGAGAGACCATTTCTAGTACCAGGTTTTGATTCTGGTCGGCTTTCTAGTACCAAGTTTTCTTGTACCAGGACTCCAAGGTTTTGTTGGTTCACAGTAAACCTACAGAACGTGATGGCCCTCTCGTTCGGGCTATTGGTCTGTTTGCGCACAAATCAAAGGGAAGGAATCCGCAAAAAAGGTTGCGAGTCCCATTGTTTATTTGTTCAAAGGGTTTTTGGAGTTCCATGTCTCATCTTTTGCGAGTGGCCAATTTTGACCACATCCGTTTGGCTTCCCTTTGTTGAGGGGGTGAAGTGTAAACAAGTTTTGCCTTGAGGGTTTGCCTTTGCACAGCGCAGGGCTGCATCCTCAGGTTGAAATGGACATGAATTTAAATAGAGGATTGCCTCAAAAGTGGTTCGTTAACATGAATCCCCACCGAATTATGATGTCCACCAAAGGGTCTTTTGTGATTCACGCCCAAATGTGAAGGATGTGCAGAACCCGTTTTGCACGGGAGTGCTGAGAGGGTACCTGGAGACATCATGACCCTTTAAGAAATGGGGGCATTACCCAAAATAGTGGGGTCATGGACCCATTGTTGAAGGCTCATGGAGTCTCCAGGTACCCCTTTTTGGGAGGTTTTAAAGGAAACTATCTCCCTAAAAGAGACCCCGGTTTTGGACCGGGCCCGACTTCTCCCTTCACTTGGTCCACCAGAAGCTGCATTCTCAGTGATGGATCGCAAAATCTGACGAGCCCGGGACGTGATGCATTCGTCTCAAGCCATCTCACTTCCGCAGCTGGATGTTCAACTTGTTTGGCAGACCATTTTCTGAGGCCCCTTGCATTCGTCTCACTCCATCTCACTTCCGCAGCTGGATGTTCAACTTGTTTGGCAGACCATTTTCTGAGGCCCCCTGTGGGTTGCGAGCCCTTTCAGCTTGTTTTTGTGAGTGGTCCCCTTTAACATCAACCAACAAACAAGTGTCCTTTCAGCAATCCACCAGGAGTTGAACCTATTCCATGGCAATTTCCACTTTAACAAATCCCATGGTGGTTCCCTTACTTTAAGATCATCCATGTGTCAATGAGTTTTCCCTTTCCCGGGAAACCTTACCTTGAAAGCTTCCTTGGGTTTGCGCTGACCACAAGGAGTACCCTCGAAGCTCGAAGGACACCACTGAAAAATCACCTTCTCCCCGGACGCGTACCCATCAGGTCCGGGACCCCTCGATAAAGGTGATCCGAGGATTTGTTCTCTTTGGGGGGGCCAGCGGAAGTGAATTTTTATGGAGGGTCAGCCCACTGGTTTCGCAGTTCGAAAGTGAGGATTCCTTGTTTGCTTCATGAGTTCGAAGACGTTTCGGCGGAAGGCGCTCGGTTTTCTGCCTCAGGTGGAGGGGCAGCCTCAGGTGGATGCGCGGCCCAAAAAGCTGCTTGGATCAACACGGGGCCCCAGGAGAATGAGTGGCTTCCTGAGGTTTCCGAGTTTAAACTAACCTGTCACAGGGTATTGAACCTCAAATAAGCACAGCCGCCTTTGTTTTATGCGTGTGCGTGAAGTTGGCCGTTGGGGAAACTCATGCGCACCCCTGAATCAAGCTGGCTGATTGACAGTGATCATCAACTAAGAAGCCTTAGTTCTTGTTTCTCCCAGACCTGAGTTGCTTTCTTGTTTCCTCTGTTTTCCGCATTTATTTATTTTTGGGGGTGACTCGGGTCCTTGGCTGTGCAGGGTTCGGATTCCCATTGTGTCCACTTCACAAGCAGGCTTTGCAACCCCGCCCACAAATGGAAGGTTCCAGGGGGAACCCCGAATTGCCGAGTGGGGGAACGGAACTATTTCTTTAGGTGAAATGTGCACCTTTGCAGCTTATCTATAGGTGGTTGCATGGCCTGACGTATGGGCCCACAAAAAAGGAGCAAGATTTGGGCCGAAATCCGGCGCCTGTTTCATCGTCGAGACATTCTTGCGTGCAAACTGATTTCTCCGATGCCAGGGGGATGAATGGTTGCTTGGGCAGTTTTGCAAACCGACCTTCAAACTAACGGTTTCCAACTTTTTTCTGGAGCAAATCCGAAGGCCCGCAAGAATGCGCAGAGTGCTAAATTTGCTGCAATACTTGGACAGACTTTGGGGAAGGTAGGATGTGATTCAACTGGGATCCAAGCGGGATCTGAGTCAAAGCTCTTTTCGGCATGTCTCGCGTGTCTCGCGGCAAGAGCGAGACACATGACAGACTCTGTGTTGTTTGAATGCTTCACTGAGCCTGGGATTTGTTGTTCAAAAGCCGTGGAGCCTTCCAAAAAACAGCATACTCTTTGGAAACCGGACCGCCAGGGCTTAGCTCGCACAAACTCGGTGCGTAGGTCCTTCTTATTGTCCCTCCACGACCCCATTGCTTTGGGGAATGACCAACCATTTTTAAAGGGTCATGGAAACTCCAGGTATTATGCTTCCCCTGGTTAGTTTCAAGATGACCTTCCACTTGCCAGACCTTCGTGAGATTCTCCGAGTGATGTCGGGGCGGAAATCTCGATATTGCCCAGAGTCTTAGGGGCCTTCAAAAGTTCCGGGCGGACGAAGAAGTGTTTGTGTTTGTGTTTGTGCTCGTGTTTGTGTTTGTGTTTTTGTGTGTGTGTGTGTGTCGGTTTTGGGCGAACCCTCTTGTTTGGTGGTTTTCAAGGAATATTAACGAAAAAGCCCACCACTTTGAGGCAGGTCCCCTGACAAACAGACCCCATCTATCCCTCTCTCTCTCTCTCTGCTCTGCAGACCTTTGGTCTACAGGCGTCTTTACAGTCAACAAAGACAGTGGAAAGAGCAGTGCGAAGCATCACCTCAGGCATGTTGCTGGGGGAGACCCCTGACATGCCACTCATCGTTTCAGGTTTGTTTTTTCTTTGTTTGGAGATTCTTCAATGGAATTGAGACCCTCCAGAACTGATTCATCCACACTCTTGATCTGAGATGCAGTTCCCGAGGATAGAGACCATGCTGGACCCTACGTCGCGGCCTCGAAGCGCGAAGACTTGGCACAGGATGTGCTCAAGGGGTCTCTTGCCGGGTGGTCTGGGGAAGGTGTTCCAAGGGACCGTTTTGGGGATCGGGGTGCTGTGGGGAGGGGTGCGCAACCCTTTGTCTCTTGGCCTTCCCCGGCTGGGCCATACGAATTCGGCAGTCTTGGGTGGACAAAGGCGATGGGGAGCCCATGGGCCGGAAAAAAGCCATGGAAGGGAGGGAAATGCTGAGATGAGATGCCGCCAAGATGCCTGCTTTTTTCATTGATGATTGCTGGCAGCCATGAGGCAAACTGGCATCTATGAGTTGTTTTTTTTCTTTTTCCAAGTCTTGGTCTGCTCTTTTGGCGCTCGAATATCCATCATGTTCTGCATTTTCTGTTTTTCCTGCTCTTCTTTTGGTTTGTACCTGGAGTCTCCATGACCCTTTAAAAATGGTTGGTCATTCCCCAAAATCATGGTTGGTCATGCAGCCATTTCTGATTCGGGTCAGATCCGGAGACTCCAGATCATCTCCGTTGCCCTTTGGCTGCGGCGAAAAGTTGTAAGATCAGAGGTCGAGGCCCACGAGCGATCCACGAGCGATCCATCCAGACCCAAACGCGGGGGTGATCCAATGCGGAGGTCTGGCTCACCAAGGAACGATCCATACGTTTTTTTGGAGCTATCGCCGTTTAGGGCTTGATCCATATTCCGTTTTTTAGCGCCCTCAACTGACCATGGGTAACTTTTCCCATGTGAGAAATATAATCTTTTTAGTGGTTTCCCACCAATGGTCATCCCATGTTTATCGGACCTTTTGATCAACCCCCATTTTGAACGAACACACGCTCTCTCTCTTTTTCAGCGCGGGCAGGCCATCAGTGTTTCTTTTTCATGTCCAAATAGGTGTTCCTCTCTCGGCAAAAGCCTTCCCGGCTTTGCCTCAATGAGAGGTGTCCCTCAGCTGGTGGTTTGGATTGGTTTGGGGATTTCAACGTAATGTTGACCCCGGATTAATAAACCACTGGTTGATTAATAGGGGGGTGTCCCCTTTTAGTGGGGATTCAGACCACTTTTGGAGGGAACACCCCCCTAATATTGGGACGGGTTCTACTTCGATCCTGGGTCAACATTAGAAGAGAAATGGGAAATCACCTCTACACCTCCAGGCTCGCAACCACCCTGTGCGAAAGAAGCTGTTTGTCAAGGGAAACCAACGGGGAAAAAAAACCGAGGGGTGTGCTGAGGCAATCTCCCAAGCCCTATCCATACTCACCAAGTTGAGCAAAGTTATAACCGGCTCACCCTCAGAAGCTAAGAAGCTTACCCATGATGAAGGTCCTTGGGGTCTTCCTCACCTTGGTTTGGGAATATCCATTTTCGCAGAAGTTACCATTGGTCTTCAAGGGGAGGGAGTTCCTCATTGACTTCATACAGTGGATGTTCGATATCCTTGCGATCGGCACCTGTTGTGATGGATGAAACGCTATAAATACTTGCCCAGCAGCATGAACTGCACGAATAACAAGAGGTGTCAAGTAT